GTTAATAGAGGCCAGTAAAGAAGTAATAACAATAAACCTTACTCGGCTATTTGACGCAGAGCCATAACGCATGTTTCCTGTAAGAAAAGTTCATTCTTCTCAAAAATCTTGTGAAGGTACTCTAGAGCCACAATGAAATTGCTACAGCGTATATCTGATCCACGAGAGCCTCTCAGAAATGATACTAATGCTTTCCTAACAAGACAATACAGTTAAAATCATACAAGTTCAATGTGTTACGTCGAGGGGTCATAAGGATATTTACTAACCCGGCGGCAACCCTTAACTCTCGAATAGAGCTTTTGAGAGACCGTAGACAATATTCTCCAAATAGAGAAATATCTAGCCTGTCTTCGGTATCACGCAAATCATGGTTAACAATGTTGCGAATAGCGATCATCGCAGATATTCTGCAGCTTCCTGAATCCTCGATTTGTGGCAGAATGCCGGCAATAATGTTCCTAAGATGGCCAAACTGAAGAGGGGATATCGGTTTCTTTGCATGGCACTTCTCCATGTCACTATTGCACATTTTGCACATATACGTTTGTCCCACAATATTACCATATTCCTCTCCACAAAGACTTTGTGCCCAGGCACAAGCAAGTCTTCCCAGATTCATAATAATGATGCATTTGTCGGCAGGAGACAAACTGGAGAAATCTTGCCTAAAACATGTCAGCAAGAAAGTACCCACATAATTGGCAACAAGTAACTCACATAGCATCTTCATCTAAATCTTCAAGGCCATTTGGAGGAAAGGCCCCAAGGGTACTGTATATTTTATTTGAGATAACACTCGAGAGGTTTGAGTGGCCGTTCTGGTCTTCCGTATGGGACAGTCGCGGCCTCTTTGAGGCTCTTTCCTCTGTAGAGGCATCAATCACCGCAAAATTGGAGGAATCCTTTCTGTCAAGGATATATGAGCGAGAAGTAGTCCCTCTATCTTTATCAAATAAGCCAACACGCTGGACTACCTTCAACCCAAGCTTTGTTCTATGCTCTCCGGCGACTACTCTAAGAACAACATGCTATATCTCGTTAGTCTGCCTCGCCCCTGCCAGTGTTGAGTATAGCTAACTTACTTGGAGTGATTGATGCAGTGTTTGAAAGAAGTCTAAATTAGCACCAATGTCGGATAAGGGATAGAAAAACAGCTCCTCGACCAAGCTTTCCACCCCTGCTGACGATTGGCTTAGGCGAATTACTTCCATCAGGAATTCAGCCAGAACCTGTTGTAATTCAATGCTTCGCTTTAATTGCTCAGGGTCCACAAGGTCGACTACACATTGAAATAACGGCAGCAACACCTTCTGATCGATGCGTGAACTAAGCCGAGTCGAATATGAGCATAATTTTCTGGAAAACGAGACAAACTCGACCAGAAGGCTTGTGAGACTTTGTTCGCCTACAGCCACTGTATTCTCATCAAACCATTCGAATATTGCTTTCCACAGCCTTACTGCAAAATGCAAACCATGGTTAAAGCTTTCACGCAATAAGGAGGCTTTTGGATCGGTTAAGGGAAGCTCGACTGGGCACGTGATAGTCTCTATGAGTCTAAGGCAAGCAATGGCAACAGTTTGTGAATTTCCTAGCTCGATTTTACCGCAGCAATCCCGGGGAAGGCCAAGCTCATCCAGACATGATAAAAATTCAACAGTGGGCACTGGAAAATACAAATCATTGCCGGGAAAAATGCCTCCACATTGCCTTGTAGCGGTCTCGATTGAATAAATCAATTCTACATTAGCTCGTATGGTTAGCAGGAGATAAAGTTGAATCGACCAAGGGAGACATGGACTAACCACCAATGCAGGCCTGAAGAAATCGAGATATTGATTTAACCGAGTACCAAAGCCGAATGGTTTTGAACTGGATGCCATATATGACTGAGACAACCTGGCATACTTTGTCCTGTATACTTCGATCGTCCCGAGAACAAAGGAGAGCCAGGAGAGATGACAGAACCCATACGAACAAGGGCGATTGCAGAGTATTGTCTTTGATACATTCTGGTTTTGCACTTCCATTTAGAACTGCTGGTGCTCTCTGTACGGCCAGACGAATGATATCTAGACAGTCAAGGATTTGGCCTATAATATCATCTTCCGAAACCCTGGGACCTCGGGGCTTTAAAGATTTTTCAAACCCGGCTCTTACCACCACACATATTAGATTGTAGATATCATTGACGTTATCATTGGTGTTTGCTTCGCCCTCTTCGCTCTGGCTAAGAATTTCCCGCCGGAGCTGTGAGAAGGTTTCCCGGTCTATTCCATATTCACCACTTGTGTCTGCGGCTAAATGAGATGCAAGATGGCTTGGTATAAGTGAAGACAGAGGCACATCTCTGGTTTTAATGTCCCGTTGTTTCCCTAGGGAGCGCCGGGACTGTAAACCATTCTGGCTAGCCATGAGAGAGATCCATCCCATGCAGACTCAAAAGGAGGTGAAGAGGATAAAAAAGGGGAGAGAGGATATAATGCGATTCGCCACACTTGAAAAAAAAAGCATCAACTTCGCGCGTGGTACCTATATTTACGCGTAAAAAAGAGGTTAAGGAGGAAAATCCATGGACTTGATGGGAGATGTCGTTCAATTAAGATACAAATCACGAAAAAAACCCATTTAAGATCTTGAGGCTGAAAACATTGCGACTGAAGGCCAATTTGTCATCAAATTCTTAGTCATCCACTAGAGTAGAATGATTTAACGGGGATCAACGCTACTTGACTGTGATATTAACCAATGAACTCCCCGATATTAGCTGACAAACCAGGATACTCTCGTGTAAGACTTAGGATGCTCAACCACGCAAAAGCGGCGAAGTTCAAGATAATAATAATAATAGCTCTTGATACCCTTAAGAATTAATAACTACGGAGCGTCTTCAGGATGCACGCTGTGTCCAACCTTTCGAAACATGAGATCTTTATGAAAATGGCCTTAAAAATGGTATTAACAGGCTCAAAAGTGTGCTGTTTCATGCATCTTATGGACACTGACAATCCTTCAAGGCCGAAACGGCTCTAGCTGTCGGCGAAACGCCTGTAGGCTGTGTTCTTGTACATAAAGACAGGGTGATTGGATCTGGGATGAATGATACAAATAAGTCTTTGAATGTAGGTTGAATTAATTTCGTGTGGCGAATGTTTCTGGTGTATCATGTACTGAATCGCTAGTCTGTGTGTAGGGAACAAGGCATGCAGAGTTCCTAGCCATCGAAGAAGCACTACGAAGCCACCCACGGTCCATTTTCCGTGAAACTGATTTATACGTGACCGTTGAACCATGTATCATGTGTGCCTCAGCACTACGACAGTATCAGATAAGAAGCGTCTATTTTGGTTGTGCCAATGAACGCTTTGGGGGTACCGGGGGGGTCCTTACCCTCCATTCAGAGTCAGTGTTAAACATCTTCATCCAAACCCAACAGGATAGCAAATTGCCACAAAAGTGTCCTGTGGCAGCTAACAATCAGAATAGCCCTGCAATAGACCAGCCATACCCAGTTTACGGCGGTATATTTAGAAAAGAGGCCATTATGCTTTTACGGAAATTTTATGTGCAAGAAAATGAAAACGGTGAGAAAGTTCTATTAATGAGTCATCAGTAACCATTCATTAACTGTGAGATATAGCCCCAAATCCCAAAGGGAAAAAGGACCGCAAGCTCAAAGACGAGATAGAGGACGCTCCTCACTTGAAAGGAATCGAAGGTATATTGCCTATAGAATGATGTAGAGTATAGGAAACTGGTCATTTGTATTTGCCACGAGTATGATATAGATACAGGGAAAAGTTAGGGAAAGATGGCTGTTACATTCATCAATTGCAAGGGCTATCTATTGACTAGCCATCATCTTTACACGCTCAGCTTCCAACTCTCGCTCGGCTTGGCGATAATATTTTGCGGTGTCAACACCGTGCTAAAGGTTACGGTAGAGTCAGCATTCATCTAGAATTTTATCAGAAATAGAAATTGTGCCTACCTGGTTGTGATTGACAACGTTGAACCAGGGAATCACATGAATAAAGAGGGAAGTGTAGCGGGAATTCCGTGCAGCAACACCCTGCATGTATGGCGAAAGTACAGAGGTCCCGTATAGTGGCTCTCCTTTTTTGATCTTGTCAACCATTTCCCGCATATCCATCTCTTCTTCACGAGAGTTCTCCGTGAGTCCGTAAAATCGGTCTACAAGAAGGTTGCTGTCAGTAACAGGATTGATGTAAAATTCTACAGCACCGATCTAAAACGAGCCATCGAATTGTGGATGGGGGATAACCGACTGCTGGACCGCTGGTAAACGGTAATAATTCCTGCTGCTAAACCAACGGCTCCGGCCAGTCTCATACATCGCGTATAGTTAATAGCGCCAGATGCAGCAGGTTGAACACGTTCCATGATCCCGAAAAGCAGTGGGCTCACAACGGTGACGCCGGCTCCCATGATATAATCTGAGGGTCGAGCATATCCAAACACGCGGCGTACATGACTAATAATCGCAAGAGTGTTAGATTTGGTGACCAGTGAATTATGCCACATCGGAATCGTAATCAAGAAAGCAAGGGACTTGGGAAGTCTCATACGGGTCTGAATCTATTAACTGTGAGGAGACTGTCAGTACACTATTCGGCCTACGTTATACGGGACGAACATACGGGATAGTCAGTTTTGAGTTGTTTTGGAGGCACAATTGGCCTTGCATGGTCGGCTGCCATCTTGCGATTGATGTATTGGCAGGCAATTGATCTTCAAAAGCGCTGTCAACTGCGTGGTCTTCGAACGATGGCATAAGTTGACGTTTGGCTTACCCAAGTCGGTTTTCACTGGAGAGTCATGTGATATAAAGATGACTTAATACTTGACTAATTAACGATTAGGTAAAGTAAATTACTAATGTAATTTCATCACGTGACTAACGCGCGGACCCGACTGATCGACGTATTCGCGATGTCGCGTTAGTCCTAATTGAATTTGATATTGGGACACTATTAATGACGGTCGAAACACTACCTGCCTGGGGAATATATATCGAGCTTCTTGGAAGAATGGATGTCAATGAAAATGTGGACGACCTTTTTGATTATGATGCTGGGCTGGATGATATTCTTCGCCAAGTAGAGCAAGACACAAACAAAACCACAGCTGCCAGCTCGAGTCAAGACCAGCCAAATCCGGGGAAAGGGGTTCTTGGTATTGATGATGAACTCCAAGTTTCGAGAAAGCGAGCACCGGTAGCTCAACTTGATGAAGCAAGGTAAACAGGCCCGCACATTTCTTGGAGCAACCTTGATTAAAAAATGAGACCCGAGTTTAACTTTTAGTCAATGTTATCAGATTGTTATCACAAGATGGAATTCCGAGACTGCGAAAAATGGCGAGAACATCATTGAAACTAAAGGGTAAAGGCCATGAGGTAAGGAAGCTATAGACATGTCTATATGCGTAGATTGCTAACCGTTCTGGTACAGTTTTCTGATGCTGGGCGATTGCTCAACTTTTACCGGCTGTGGCTGGATGAGTTATACCCTCGTGCCAAATTTACTGATACCCTGGCTACCATTGAGAAACTGGGCCATTCTAAACGACTCCAGGTGATGCGGAGAGAATGGATTGATGAAGGGAAACCTAGGCCTGAGGTTGATGATGACGATTTCCAATTGGGCAAGGAACAAGATCTCCCTACGCGAGAAAAGGAGAATCAGCAGGATGGAGCCCGCCTAAAGCCAGAAGAGGAAGACCTTTTCATGGATTCTCCACATCCGGAGACAACCTTCTCCACGCAGGATGCTGTAAAGTCTTTATTCGGTGGGGATGGCAATGAACAGAGCAGCGTGTTGAACACTACATCTATAGATAACAAACTCTTCGAGCGGGAGTGGAATGACAAGGCGCTAGGCGATCCGCCGAAAGACAATATAAGCCATTCCGGGACTAATAAGGTCCCAGCCGGCTTCCCTGATGAGGAAGATGACCTTGATCGACTACTGGCCGAGGATGATAATGGGATCAATAGCAACAGCATTCGTAAGCCAAATGCAGAAGCGTCCGCATCCAACGCAGTTGCAGACGATTACGAGAATGACTGGGAGGCAATGCAAGAGCATGACATGTAATGATTATAGTAACGAACAAGAATTAATATAATGAATTCAACGATCCTCCCTTTTTTTGTAGAAAAACACCTTGAAATAAATACAGAGAAAGTAGCAGAGTATACCTAGCTCGTCACCTACACCTCAAGGTTAACCCTGGAGGGAGGAATGGAGGCAAGTAACACGATTAACAAACAATAAACCATATGAAGCATCGCTCAACATTCAAGAAAAATTTCTATAAACATACCCAAAGGCCCCAGCTAAGTGCGGTGCCTGGGATGTTGTTTAATAGAGTGTCACCAGAAACGAAGAACTCCCACAGACGGCAATAGTAAGACAGAAAGACGGACAAGAACCCTAAAGCACTAGAAAGATGCTTGGGATATGTATCTGATGGAGATGGGAACCAATGGCACCTTCACAAAAGGAGGGACGCAGTCAACAAACGTCAGTAGCCCACTCAACGTGAAAAAGAGGCCATATCAAATATCAGAACAACAAATAATCGATGTAGGAAACTAAAAACCCGGTAACACGCAGTAAATACCAGGACAGGAGAGATGAACCAAATCAAAAGGGCATTTTCCACGCAATAAATAGAGCAAAGGCCTCGGAAGAGTAAGGTTACACTGTTGGAAAAAAATGGGAGAGGAGAGTGGGTGATTGGGCATGGAAGGCCCAATGGCCATTTGCTAAGAGACAACTTGGTTTAAAATTTCCGGGAGACACAGCAGAATGGCGAACCATTATGTAGAGGAGTCAAGTTTTTGAGTGTTCCTTTTGGCAATTACTCTGCAATGGCAGTGAAGATAGAGTATTGTCCACCAGCGCCGGCAGTGTTTAATTTCTTTCCGCGCACAGCGGTGTTGTCAACAATGGTAGCAACTTCGATATCGTCGTCGGTTCCTTGCCCTGTCTGGTAGTTGGCAGAAAAACCCCAGGTCCACGCGCGACCTTCATTGTCGATAGCAATCGAATGATCTGCACCGGCAGCAACATAGTCTGCCTTGAAACCAGGGACAGCAGTGGGTTCGAACAGGACGCGAGCACGGTTCCTATCATCTTTGATGACGGCAGAGTCAGGCAGAGTATCGACCTTGAGACCAGATTGGAAGCCGTCGAGACGGCCCCAAACAAGACAATCTCCATCAGTTGTGCGAGCGAGGGTATGGTGAGAACCGCCGCAAATTTGGACAATACTCTTGTCCTTAAGGGAGTCGACAATGGTGGGGTGAAGGATAACAGCCTCGTCATCTCCAGCACCTTGCTGAATTCCGGTTTCGCAGTAGCTGTTCAGGCCCCAGCCGTAAACTTTTCCAGATTTATGAACTGCGAACGAGTGGAATGAGCCACAGCCAACGTGAACGATGTTTTTTGGGAGGCCAAATTCGCGAGGCTGTAGTCCGTTGAGTTTGTTGCGTTCAACGATGCGGCGGCCAAGCTGATTCTGCTGACCGGATCCCCATGCAAAAACGGCGCCACGATTGTCGATAGCGAGGGCGTGGTTGTCGCCGCAAGCAACATGAGTAATCTTCTTAAGGCCTGAGATGAGCTTTGGGGTTGTCTGAATCTTCGTGTCAGCATCAAAGCCAATGATTCCTTCGTTTCCCTGGACCACCTTGTTAGTAATGTTATTCTTTTGGGGAAGTAAGAAAATGCAAAAACACGTACTCTGAATGTACCCCAGCCGTAGACCAAGCCGTCATCAGTGAGCGCAAAAGATGAGCTATCACCAGCAGCAACTTGAACAATGACAGTGCCTTCGGGGAACGCGTCGGATGGGATGGCTGTTGGGGTGGACTCGTAGGGGTTCAGCCCACTGTCACTGCCGGAGTCGGAGCTGTCATCACTCTTTGCGTCGTCGATATCTTTCAGGCCACCCTCCCAGGTGGTGTCACGACCCAATGCGCCTTGGTCATTGACACCCCAGGTGAGAACTCTGCCGTCGTGGGTCAGCGCAACGCAGTGCATTCCGCCCGCGGCGACTTGAACCACGCCGACATCCTCGGGCGCCAGCAGGGCATTGAGACGTGGACGTTTCACGTCAACAGTGCCCTTGGCAGCTCCAAGGCCGAGCTCTCCCTGGCTGCCTTCTCCACAAACAAAGACTCTTAGCTTCTGCGTAGGAGCCTTGTTTATCACCACTTTTGGCTTGGGTTTGCGGGTGACGGGGGCCTTTGCGACGCGAGCCTTCTTGGGTTTGGGCTCAGCAGCCGCCTTTTCTACCTCTTCATCGGCAGAGGTCTTCCGCTTGCGGGCTGGAGGAGCCGGAGCTCCTGCAACAGCACCAGCAGCGCGGGTATTCGACGCTGTCTTGCGCTTGGTGGTAGCTTTCGCGTTGGCGCCTACGGCAGCCTTTGCAGCATCGGTCTTGAGCTTTGTCTTCTTCGTCTCGGAGGCAGAAGCTGGAGTCTTCTTCTTCGCGGCAGATGCGGTAGCTGCCTTCTTCACACCGGCCTTTTTGGCCATCGTAGTCGAGGTCTTTTCCTTCGTGGGTGCTTTTGCTGTAGATGCTTTGGCACGCGTCGAAGCTCGTGCAGGCGCCATTGTAGGCAGGAAAATTGTTGTAAAACTGGTGTATCGGGCGAATCAAGCAGGAAGTGTACGGGTATAGCAGTTTCAAGATAAATCTATGAGTCACGGGTGCTACGTGCGCAGAATGTGATGGACGAGCAGAAGAAGTCTTCGATGGTGTTGTTTTTTTTTTTTGTTTTTGGTTGTTCGAAGTTCGATGGTCGTGGATAGCCGGATTATGTAATCAACAACACAGTTCGGGGCAAGCAAGCCACAAAGAAAGCAGGACAAGGAGTGCAAACAATAGGGGGAACAATGGGAGAGATAATGGATATAGTGACAGAATCAGAAGCCGAGGACCCAATTGGTAGGATTAGTAAAGAGGCTGGTGTTGTTTACTGCAAGTTAATAGTAGTAAATATGTGAAGTACATATAACCTTTTGTACAATCCGATAGCTAGATTGGGTCATCAGTGAACTGGATATATGCCTGCACTACATATTGTTTTGATATATAAATATAAATAAAGTCATGAGAGTTTATAGAGGTTAGCCACTCGGCATATTGCTGTGCTCCTGGACTAGCGAAGCTGCGGCTGTTCCTGGCCAACGGCCGCCATCCAGGAGTAGGTTTGAAGAATCCATGGATCATAAACTTGAAAATACCCGTATTTCTGGGAGACGAGGTTGTGGAATTTTTGAGTTCCCTATATATAAATATTAGTAACTGTAATATGCGGCATACCCACGGTAGACCTAAATAGCCTAGAGTGGGTAAAACGGGAGTGACGGGTGGAATTTAGAGGCATACTTATATGATCACCATAAGCTTAACGGGAGTAGTAGAATTGACCACCCTAACGAAGCAAGATATCATTGGCGAATCCAGGTGGACTAATTTGAGAGGGATGAGTTGAGCTCCAGGCGACGGTATGTTTGCGGAGGTTGCTTGCGATACCCGACTCTTTGCTGCAAACTGGCACAGGGTCTCGGTGTAGGGTAAGTGGGCGCTTGCGTTATCCCTACAATTAGTACGACCTAACCTGATAGATTATAAGAGTGCCTAGCTGTTACATCGGATAAGAGAGAGGTCTACCCGAAGTGGGGACCCGAGTGGCATGTAAAGCTGGAACTGCTTTAGTGACACTTCACAGGACCGTCCACTGATCAATAAACCTGGATTCAGGACTCAGGATTCATCCGCACGAGCAGCAGCCTCTAAGCCGAGAAGAATTGGAGGTAGAGGTGGAGGTGGTGGTGCGGTCTTTATCTTCCCACACATGATGACATCCTTACCCAAAGGCTGCCATTTGATGTTGTGAGGTGTTAAGGCATTTATTGGGTTGCCTAGTTCATCCTGCTTAGAGTCCGGCGATGCAGACACACCGTTACGGCCAACGTAGGTTGGAGCAACGGTAACGATGACAGAGTCAACGAAGTCAACATATTCTGGATTAAGCAGTTCGCTGAGGACAACACCCCCGCCTTCGATCATGACGCTGCGGATACCCTGGTTTGCTAGTGCACCGAATATGGCCTCCCATCTCAGTCGCCAGTGTGGGTTGTATTCTCTGATCCTCAGGTAGTCACCGCCATGACGTTTCAATAGCATGAGCTTGTCCGGAAGGAGTTCTGCGCCAGGAGAGACGATGACCCAGGGAGCTTTACCTTTTCCTTCTGCTGCGGTCTTCAGCAGCCTACTCTCCGCTGATGCAGACCATCGCCCTGTGGGATCGATTATAACAGGCCGGGGTTGCCACATGGTCCCAAAGCCACCAAAGCCTCCAGCACCTTCTAGTCGACAGTTTAAGCCTGGATCATCGGCCAAAGCAGTCCCAAGTCCGATTATTATGGCATCATGACGGGATCTCAAGTAATGAGTCATTGCCTTGGTTTCTGGACCAGAGAGTAAAGTTTGGACACCTGGCTTGGTGGAAATTTTACCATCCATGGACTGTGCGTAAGTAAGCGTGACATGCGGAAACTTGGTCTCTCCACTGTTGGAGTTGTCATTGCCATGGTTATGATCTTCCCCTATCTTTGGTAGATACGGCTCCAAGAAATCCAGAGGGAAAGTTGGGAACGGGAGGACATTGGCAGGTAGATTCATAGCTCTGGGATGGGCGATTATGGCTGGTGGACGGTTTATATGCTGTCCATCCTGTACCTTATAGACGCCCAGTCCATTCTGGTAGGCATAGCCTTCATGCGGCCGGAGGGTGAGGCCTGGATGATTCGATCTCCACTTTCCGGACACATTTCGAACATCAATCGTGGTCAGATGTTTTCCACCAGCAGCTTCGAGTTGTTGAGGGTCCTCTCTTAGTTTTGCAAATATGGATGCCGGAAGGTAGCCCTGGGCAGCCTCCTGGCGGACATACTCCATCACACCAGAGTTCTTCTTGACCTTGTCAATGTAGTCCAAATCATGTGAATGGGCACTGCTACTGTTAGGGCTCCGGGATATGGTTATTGTAGTATGGGCTCCTTCAAACTTGACTACT